TTTAACCCCCGGTTAGTAACTTAACCAGAAGTTTGGTTCCGTCTGTGGCAGAGGCTAAATTGTCATCGACTGCATCCCAGTTCAGAAAGAGAAATGAAAGTCCCTTGTCGGTTCACGTCCTTCATGAAAAACGTGCCGAAAGGAACTGAGTTCGCGTCGTATTCGTGCAGTGATAGTGGGGACCTTAAGATACACCGTTTCCATGTACGGGTACGGGTAAATTAGCCTTAAGCACGGGAAAATTGCCTCTTACCTGGGAGAAACAGGTAGGCTACTGGGTAGAATGGTTACGCCATTATCACATCAGGTAAATAATGGTTGCCTTTTATAAAACTACGAGGTAAACATGTTCGCTTACCTGTACCCTTAGGCTGAAACGGTGTATCTTAGGGTCACTAGGAATAATCAGCTTTAAAATAATGTACCAAAAAAAGTCCGATGTTTGTGCAGGGTTAAGCCTGTTACTTTTTTGACGTGTTTGTCTCCGTCGTTAACTACAGTGTGAGAGGATTTAGTACGATATGCAGTTCAGACTAGAGTTTATACAGACTCGTACCCAGTCGCTATTTAAGTGTTTTTTGGGGTGAGAGAAGATTGGGGATTAGGTTGAGGCGCGTGCGGGGTCTCATGGGAAGGGAAGAAGGAAAAATAAAAAAATTTCCTTCTTCCCTTCCCATAAGACCCCTCGCGCGCCTCAACCCAATCCCCAATCTTCTCTCACCCCCAAAAACACTTAAATAGCGACTGGGTACAAGTCTGGAGTTTATGGGCACATTTTTTCTATTTCGAGAATCTGATACAAAGGCCTTGTCATTGTTTGTACTGCTTGTGTATTTTGAGAGTTATGGTTGCCCTTGATGATTTGAGATATTATCTGTTGGACACAAAATGTTATTTTTGAAACAATGAACAGTTTAATTCCTTCTTTTCTGTCAGACGTCGTCGACGAGAACCGAAGTCAAAGGAATCTCCTGCTGCCAAACTTATTTTACCCAAGGTACCACCTATAAGGAAGACACCAAGCAGTTCCTCAGGGGAGAGGTGAGAGTGATTTTGCGAAAACAACAACAATCACGTATGCCGTTTGGCCTTATCAAATGAATCTCACTGATTCATAATTTAATTGCAAGAATTACATGCGGTATTTACATGTATAAAATACGGAACAGTAATAATCAGTAGAGACCTCTAGATTCGATAGACTGCGAGCAGTATCTTATTTTTCTTTGCAAAGTAACTCCACTCGTAACCCATGCGCTTGGAAGATGGCTTCCACACCAATCCAAACATCAACCTCGTTGCCAGGGGTCTCTCCTGGGAACGAGGCTGTCCAAACATAATCAATTAGGGATTTGGAGTGGATTTATATCTGGTAAAAAAGGGAGGTTATAAGCGAAATAAGAAAAACGTCTCAAAACAAGCTGATAAGCCTACAGACGTTATATCATCATTTTAAGTAAAAATTTAAACTCTGATTTTAAATTTAAACGGAAGATTGGCAGAGATGCATGCATCTATAACCTAACCGTTGGGGGCCTTAGAGCGGGAATAAAATTTCTGTAACCGTGGCCAAAGCTGAACAGGGAATTAATTAACCGTTGTCCGCTTCTTCTTTCAGTTCAACTTCATCTCGGTCTCGACTTGGGAAACGAACTTCAGTTAAGTCTGCACCAGATGCTGATGATTTGATGGCCGAAATGGAGATGTAAAGATCGTAGTGGAAGGCGAACGAAAGGATGGTAACGCTCAGCCTGCATGATAACAATAACATTTTAGGATTTGATATGTACCTTATTGGGACTTAATTTCGCGGGTCTTAAATTTCGCGTTTTTGGAGATTGTAAAAAAATCCTCGCGAGATATAAACACGAGAAATTTAATCCCATATAGAAAATGAAAATCACAGAGAAAAGGATTAACATAAAAGAACAACGACATTATACAGGATGTGTCTCGACAAATACCGGCATTATTAACTAGTTTTACTGGTTAACTCCATTTTTTATCCTCTGTTCTGAAATAACATAAATTTGCAAAGACTTCACACATGGAGTAGAGAATCTAGCTAACATCTTCAAATGAATCGGGTAGATTCGTACAAAAAAGAAATATGCGTTTTGATTGTACAAGTTTATCAAGAAATTTCTGAAAGTTCCGACTTGTTGAGAAATAAAGTGAAATTGAGAACGCTTTTTTAACGAAATTTAATGCCCGTTTTCATATTTTACTATTTAAGTCGCGAAAATAAAACCCCTCGAAATACTGTCTCGCCCAATCGAGAAATTACTGAAGTACCAATAAGTTGTTACATATTGACAAAACGTTTTTTCCAGTACAGCTGCTAAGGATACTTAGTTCATATTCAGTAGGAAAAAAAAAGACCGTTGTGTTAAAGTTATCAGGATCCTGAAGTATTAGAGTTGGCCATATGTTTTTCCTTCCAACTAAAGCTGCACCATACCTCTCTCCTCCCTAGAAGTCTCTTTGTGCTACCAGTAGGAGGCTCGCGAGAGAGGAAAAGAGCACAGGGGACGATGGGTCTTTTCCCTCTTCCCTTGGTCCTCTGCGAGCTGACTTTTTTTTTCAAATAGGCCATTTCCGAGTTGCACAAAGCCTCCGTTTCAAAGCGAAGTTAAGTGCAAAGCTATTTATATGAAAATGACTTTTATTCTCTTGCAAATAAAACTCATTTTCACAAGAAAGTAGGTAAGTTTTTGCACTAAGCCTCATTTTTTGAACTCGGGAATGGTCTATTGTTGTTTATTCTTGGATTACCAACAGGAACTTCTACAGAGGAGAGTGGGAAGGTAGGCAGTTCTTGCAAACATGCTCGTCTGATTTTAACTACCGTTACCTTTGTCTTTGCATTCTACTTTAAACACAGATCGATAATAAAAGATAATGAAATCGATAATAAAAGGTATAATAATTTTTGTCTCCGACACAGGAGTATTGATAGTTAGTTAGTTAAGCAGTCTGTCGAAGCGACAATGACTGTTCCATGAAGAGTTCAAGCTTTAATCAGGTTCGTCCAGGTCGTTCTGTCCTTTGCTCGCTACCTCCAAGAATCTACAAAAATGTTCCTCCGCTTCAGGTTTCTTGTCACGATGTCCTTGAATCTTAGCCTAGGCCGTCCTTGATTTCTCTTTCCATCGCGTAACTGGGAATACAATAGCCTAGGAATACAACAGCTGCCTGGGAAGCCTGGCAAAGTCCACCCTCTCCACATGGCCGAGCCATCTCAGGTTCATGTGAATTAAAATATCAGCTATAGGCGGTAGGTCAGCCTTCTCTAGAATTACTTTGTGATTTTGTCTTTCCAAGATATGTTCTTTATCTCTCTGAGATGGTGCATCATGTAGGCCTGTAGCTTCTTCACTTGTGACTGGTACTGCCTCGTACCCAGACGTCTCTCTCTCTCTCGATGAAAATGTGCGCGCAAAGGAAGGCGGGAAGAAGACAACGGGCGAGACGTCGCTTCGCCTTCCGTCTGTACCCTTCCCATGGTCTCTTGCGGTTCATCACCAGTCGCTTGCCTCTACCTTGCGAAAAACGAAGCGCTTGAGGGGGAGGCTGTGACTGGTATATGGTTCAAGTCTCTGCACTGTAGAGGAGTGTACTAAGCACAACAGCACGATATACCTTACATTTAGTCCTGATGGTAACATGTCGGTTTCTCCACAGTCTTTTCTGAAGCTTCCCGTAGGCAGCGCTAGCCTTACCCATTCTCAGCGTGATTTCTTGGTCGAGACTTGCGGATTGTAAGACTGTACTGCCCAGATAGGTGAAATTTGTGCACATTGGCGGAGCGGTTGGTTCTCCTCATTGATTGGTGTCGGCGCAGCAACAGTCAGGTATTTAGGTGGTTGGTAGAGGCACGCCGTCTTTTAATGTTGATCTTAAGGCTAAACTGTGACGCCGCTTTGGCAAATTTGTCAACTAGGACTTGCCTATCGGTAGCAAGCACTGTGTGATATAAGAGCGCTGTCGTCTGCGAAGAACAATCCTCTTATGACCATCAGGTTAGTCTTTGTTCTAGCTTTCAATCGTGCCACATTGAACAGGTTGGCTTCCTTCCTAGTTTGGATGTATACTCCCTCCGTGGCCATGTTTTAGGAGTCTTGATAGAGGGTGATAATGGAGTGTTAAAACGGTTAGCGGTTCATGAATATGGAGATTAGGGAGCTTAAACAACAACGACGGCGACGGCAACGAAAACGTCTCTTAAAAAGAAAGCTCGTTCTTTTTCAGCTTCATCGCTTTTGTTCCACCGTGTTCAATTTGTCAAATTTTGGCGATGCTTTCTGGAGTTGAATCCTAAAGGTCAATGTCAAAGTTCACGAAAAGAATATGAAAACTGTTGTCATGTGTTCACGTCCTCCATAAAACGCTAAAATATGACGTTTCACGTCGTAGTCGTGCGATAACGGCAAGTGTGTGGCGGTGATATGCAAAGTTGTTGTTTTGCCCATAAAATCTATTGCCTTTTTACCGTTCTCGTCGCCGTCGTCACTGCTTGAGGTCCCTATAATTATGGTTGAATTTCTTTCCATTACGGTCGAGAGGAATCTTATAAAAAAGGAAACTGATTTAAAATTTAAAATCGTTGAATTTCCAAGTTGCAAAAGTTGCTGTGGACCTTCAAGATTTTTAAAAAACCTTTATAATCTACGAGTCCAGGGGCCGGTTGCTCGAAGCCTGGTTAGTGCTAACCGTTGGTTAAGAGGTATCAAAATGTATAGGTTTCCATGGTATTTAACGCTGGTTAGCACTAACCATGCTTCGAGCAATCCGGGCCAGATAAGAAATTAGATTAAAAAAAAAAAAAAAAGAAAAGAAATTAGATATTGTGGCTAGATAATGTTTTCGCGGGATATATTTTTACGACTATGCGGCTTATTTGTTTTAACTTTTACGCGCAACGAAAAAATGTTTGCCGTTTTACGGTTGACAGTTAACCCTTTTGAGACCGTCTGGACTGGTCTCTATTGCAAATGCCATCAGTCTTTGACAATATTCTGCTCTGGACCAATAGGAAACGAAGCAGTTGTATTTTCAGTTCCATTTTCCGTGATTATCAGCGTATCATGTTCCCTGTACCCGCCCGCTCCGGGTTGTCCTTCGGGAACCACTATCATGGGTTCCATGGTGATGACCATGCCTGGTTCTAAAACAGTGTCCACGTGTTCCAGGAACTCTAGACCCCAGTCCCTCCCGTAGTAATGAGTAAGAACACCCGTGGAATGACCATAACCAATGACACGGTACTGCAGAATGTCGTGTTCCATGTAGATCTCGTTTAGCTCTCTTGCAACATCCCTACAGCGCATGCCTGGTTTGACTATCTCTAGTCCCTTTTTATGAACCTTATTGTTGACTTCCCATAGTTCCATGTGACGATCCGAAGGCACGTGATGGTAGAATAGAGTGCGCTCTAAAGCGGAGTAGTTTCTGTTTGAAACGAAGGAAAAATACCAGTCAACGCAAGAAGCAGGTGTTCTTCGTTGATTTGACGAACAGAAAATTTGCATGAATCCAAGAATGAAAACTTGCAACAATTTCAAGCGCTCGGTTACACGTAATTAAGCACGCAAGAACATGGTAGCGTTTTAAGCAGGGAAATGCATGTGCAACGATTGCCAAGAACGAGAAAACATGCGACGTGTTCAAACAGGAAAAGTTCCATTAGCGGATACACAGTGTTCCCTAGGTCAAGCCGCGCTCTTGTGTAGCCAAAGAAAACAGCCAACATTTCGCTACGCCGGGAAACCACTAGCCTCCCCGCAGACGTCCTTTGGGGTTCGTTTGTCACGCATTCATTTCTCTCGGGGAGAAATGAATGCGTGACAAACGAACCCCAAAGGACGTCTGCGGGGAGGCTAGGAAACCACCGGTGGCTTCGCGAAATATCGGCTGTCTTTTCAGGCTAGCCCTGATCTTACTAAACAAAATATAACGAGTTTTAAACATTCTCATCTGGCGAGGTGTTTAACAAATAATCATACTAACCCTGCTATCATAGGAAAGCAATTAAGACTGAGAATATCTCCTTTTTGCACTTGGCGAGTTGTTGGATAGTTATGAGCCCCATCTGTGTTTACACCCGACTGAAACCAACTCCAAACTAGAAAAAAAGCGCAAACAGACAATAAATTTCGTGTCAAGGTATAGGTCTAGTTCCTTATTCATAAAAACGGCTCTCAATACTATTTAGCCAGAAAGACTATTTACCTTTCAAGGTCCCGGATAAACAACTTCAAAACAACCAATCTCGTCCTCAAATCTCACTCTGTTTTCAACTTAAACGAACCTTAATACACGCCATACTTGCTGTAAAATCAGCTAAAACGCCCAAAACAAACCGCTTACCACCTAAATCCGACGTAAGGTATTGAGTCTACCCGATTTAGATCGAGTCGAAGCACTATTGGCCAGTGGCTGGCAGTTTTTTTCCTTGCTCTTCCCAGCCCCTTCCTCTTTACCATCAATTGAAATTTATTTTTGCCCGTAGGTTGACATTTTGATAATTACGGCTAACTCTACACACTAACGATAATTTACAGTAAGAGTAATATTGGAAAGTTTCGTGTCAACCGAAGCAAAAGACGGGGGCTTAATTAGATAGGGAAACTACAGTAGTTGTTACAAGCCCCGCAGAGCTCCATGTTAAGCCAAAGCGCAAAACACTAAGTAAAGGGGTGGCGAATTTTGAAATTAAAGACTAAGTTCGAAATATTCTCAATTCCACATACAGACCCTAGAGTGTTGGGGTGTGGATGGAAATACTTGTCACGTGACTTTTTGAAACGCAAACCCCAGCCCAAGGCCACTCCTAACTTTAACTGTCAAGTAATAACTCACTTGGAGGTCAAAGCATCAATACTTGTTTTGTAATCTCAAGAAAGCCCCTTGGTTAGGGACGGACCATTAGAAAATTTATGTGGTGGGGCGGGCGAAGTACAAAAAAAATATTCGCACAAGGGAAAATTAAATGAAAAAAAAATTTCAAGCACGCCAATTAACCCTAAACAATATTCATGCTATGGCCTAAAAAAGTTCATACAAGGAATTTGATAACGAAAAAAAAATTTCTGCGGCTCAAAAATTCCCCCCCCCCCCCCCCCCCTTCCATAACTTTTCTAATGGTCCGTCCCTTAGAGTCTAGCTGGGCCTTACATTTTCTGGGAGTGTCAAATATCTTGGTCACGTGATGCATATCGTTCCCATAACGTCATCATCATCATCATCATCGTCGTCGTCGTCGTTGTATCGTCAGAGAGCTTAAGCAACGACGACGTCGACAGAGGCGAAAACGTCGCTAAAATGTAAATTTGCACTGTTTTAAATTTTGTCGCTCCTATCACATTTCGTTCAGTTTGTCAAATGGTGGTGAATTTTTCCGGATTTGAATCTAAAGGACTGTATCTAAGGTTAAAAAGAAAAGTATAAGACATTCGTTTCCTTGTGTTCACGTCCTCAACGAATTAGGCAGTTTCATTTCTTCACGTCGTGGTAGTGCGGTAATAGAAATGTACAAAAATGCGTGATGCACGTACAAAGCTTAGTTTTGCTAATCGAAACCTATTGCTTTTTGGCTGTCATTGTCGTTGTCGTAGTCGTTGATAGTGCTTAAACTCCCTATTGTTACACTTTTTGCCTGTGACAGGGGTGGGGGAACCCCTCACTTGGGAAATAAGAAATAATGAGTGTAAAACTAATAAACAACTCACCATCCCTGATATCAACGTGCGGATATGCCTTAGCTATTTCGCGTACCATGGTGTTGGTTGCAGAAAGAGTGACCTCATACTCTGGCACACCCTCATGAATCGTGTTTATCGCAGCGTATGCCCCAAGTTCAGCTATCCGAGATCCCTGGCGGATTACTTCAATTTCCTCCGGGGATTTAATACGACGTATATGCATCGCTGCATCCGCGACGTCGACTAGCTTGGCCTGTGGTAGAGCATCAGAGAAGTCTTTGAGGAATGCTCCTGCATCAGGGAACTCTAAACCAACGGTTTTTGCAGATTGAAGCTGGGGATTTAAACATTTCATTCATCAAAGACGATAGGGTCTAGAAGTGGAGCAGCTTAAGACAGACCTATAAAGTGCTTCGTTTCTGATCTAGACTGCGAGCAGTCCGCCTTTTTAAGATCCGTCGAGTTCTCAGACAGGGTGCGTTTGGCACTGAAAAAGCTTCAAGCCAAAAAGGGACTTCCCTCTCGGGCTTACGCCCTCGTTTCTCGCGGCTCGCGGCTCGCGCGTCCTAACCCAGCGACTTTAAAGAAAATAAGAGACTGGTCGCAGTCTATTTCCGATCGCCCACTCGACCCAAATGTTTAGGAAATGATAAAAAAATATATATTAGCAAAAAAAAAGTTCCTTTTTAAAAACCTAGTTCACTGTTGTCGGTGGTAGAAAATCTGGGAGAGACGTTGTTTTGATAGCCTGTCTACAGACGTTTTTCTCTCTGTCTTTCCCTTTTTTTTCCTAAAAGCATTGAATAAATCCCCCGCGATTTTCATTTTTTTTACGCACGCTCGACGATCTCTAGAGAGGAAATGGGGGTCTGTGTACAGAGACAAGCTAAAAAAGCGAACCTCTTACATGGAGGCAAAACCGTGTCACCAGACCGTCTGAACCGAAGGAATGAACATTGAACTGTTTCTATTTCTATTTTTATTGTATAATCATTTACCTGTATTTTATTCTATCTAGTATTTATACTTGTAGTTAATTGTTAACCACTTATGCGAATTTTCAATTCAAATTTGAGGAGCCGTTAAAAGATACGTTCTCTTGGTATAGCTCTGGCCCTGAGGAAGGCTAATTTTGTTAGCCGATCTGGCCTATAATAAATCAGCCCTTTGCCGTAGTGCCAGCCCTGTATTGAGTTCTGTGTACAGCTAGGTTATTATTTTGATACAACGTACTCCCTTTCTGCTTTCGGGTGTAAATTATGTTTTTATAGTAACTAGTATTTTTTCAGTATAATTTCCATAAAAGTAGCTGGGAGGATTTACTAATTTAAGGTCATGTCACCTCCACGCAGCCTCACTCATAAAAAAACTAAAATTCTACTCCATCTCTAAAAATGAAACAAAGTACTGTGAATTCGTTAATCATATCAGGAATCTTGAACATAAACGTATAGCCTCCAAATTTAGGATAGGAAATCATAGCTCCCTTACTTAGAAATCGAAACTGGAAGGTTTACTATTCCCAAAACTCCTAAACAAGACTTACTATTCCTTTCTGCATGACCCCTTATTTCTCTGTATTTTATCCCTATTTACCTGTTGTTGAACTGCGTGGTAGAAATTATCTTCTTGCCAGTTAGTATAGCTGATGTTATCCCCGCTTGTTCGTCGCCATGGATATCCATAGTCGACGGCTATAAAGCACGAAAGACCAGCCAATCATTAATTATTAATTTTACTTTTTATTATTAATTCAAACTATTTCTTCGTTTCTGATTAGCTTAAATCCCCCGACTAATTCTTCATAACAACGTTTGCAATATCTGGTAAAGTGACGTCAATAGTACATGCTATCACCAAAGAAAGGGACGGCAACCAAAACCGATACCTTGGGGACGAGGTTGTGTTAGCTCAACTGTCTGATAAATCCCTCCTTGATCTGCATACTTCTCAGGTCATACTGTGCCTTACTTTATATTTTCTGAATATCCAACACACCGACTTATTTGATCTTATTAGTAAGCTTTCCAGAGTGACTAACTGATGGGTGGACGCAGGGGCGGATCCAGGATTTTTTTTAGGAGGGGGTGCACTCGACTCTTGCTCTACTTCCACACCAATAAACCACAGTTTTTTTGTATTTTTTTGCAGAATACCAGTTGTATAAGAAAACCGCAGGTCATCTCAGGGGGGGGGGGGGGNTCTCTTCTAATCATCCCTCATTACGTACTTACATGGAGTAATGGTGATGGTCGTTTCGTCAGTAACGATTAAACAGTATTGCCTTCCCATCGAACAATAAAGGAAATCGCTAAAATAGTACACGTTGTAGTACGATGTAAACACGCATGCGTCAATGCCTTCCTGTTCCATGTGACTGCGGATTCTGTTCAGTCGCCGATCCATTTCATTGTATGAAAATAGTTGCTTACACTGAGGAAAACAACACAAACAACAACTAAGTTGAAGAATAAAATGTAGATTGGTAACGTACAGATGTACAAACAGTGGGGTTGTGTCTTCATCCCAAAATTCCCTTGACAAACTATAAGGTGGTGCTATGTCGACTGTAATATATCGTTATCTTTGTTGAAAATCAACATATTGAATGAAGGGCATAAATATATTGTAATTGTAAGGGTCTGATCTTTAGTTTAAAAACTAAATGCAAGGCTGATCTTTTCTATTTTCGTCATAAACATTCATCTCCAGGAGTTTCGCCGTATTGGAAACTGAGAAGACCCTAGGGACGAGGATGCAATTTGGTTACAGGTTTCCCTTGTGTCCAAACTTTGTTGTTATGACCCGTTGTGGCAACGCTATTGAACATTCTCGGTGTTAATTTGTATAGGTAACAGCATGATTTGTAGTGATATTTGGCATAAATACCACGAGTGATATTTCAAAATTGTTATACGAAATTTCACGAGCCATAAGGCGAGTGAAATTTGAGGTAATTTTAAAATATTACGAGTGGTATTTATGCCAAATATCACGTTCAAATCATGCTATTATTTGTTTTTACTACTACCCACAAAAGGTTTGTAATTTTCACATGTAGGTATTTCAAATTAAGCTGAAATACCACTGCTTTAAGCCAATCAAATTGCTGAAACTTCTCATGTAGTAGTATAAAAGGTATAACATTTTGAAATGAAAGATCCAAAAAAAGTGTAGCTGAAATCTATTCTCAACGTCTTGCAAGTTCAGGAGTTTCTGAGATTAAGAGTACTGATTTATGTTCCTCACCTTCTTGCCATTGTATAGTTTCAGCGTACGTGGAAAGTAGTCATGTTTTTTTCGCAGAAACACCGGCATAACTACCTTGCCGAGCTTGCGGAAAAGTGACGATTGCGCAAGCATTGTCCTCGTAATCTGCAATGTTCCGAAAAGGAGATATAGAAAAGAAAACACTACTGAGAAAAGAACACAGAAAATAAACAAGTGAAAGAAGGAAAGTTTAAATACGCCACAGGAGATACGATACCCTTTAGGCGCAGATCTATAGGATAAATACTGGCCGATTTCCTAAATTTGTTTGGATTTCAACTTCCTGGGTTTCTGAGACATTCAGACAGGATGTTGGCCAGTTCCATTCTGGCCTCGGATGAAGCCTTACAAATCGGCGATTATTATTATTATCTCTTATGCACGGAAATTGGAAAAAAATATTATCCAAACCATTTTCCAGAAAATAAAAAATTGAAAATCTGACCGATTTCCGTAAAACAGTGGAAACCGGAGTGGATCCGCGCCTGCCGTTTTTGAAGGTTTGAGTTCCTAACAACAGCCCGTTCCCATCTCTCGTATCCAGAGTTTTAACAACCCTATTCCTCGCTTTCAGTACAGACTACAGAAGTTTAGTTATGCAAATCGTGTGCCCCATTTTGTTTTTCTACAATAATTATTAAAGTGTAAATATCCGTATTGTTATTCTTTGGCAGAAATGAAGATTAAAATACATGCTAAATAGAACGCTATTTCCCAAGATCATCGTATAAACTTCGTTTAGCTGTCGAAGTATCCCGTCGGCCAACAATGATCGACGTGCAGGCAGGGTTGCTGCAGCTGTCGCTCGAGAGACCCTGTGTTAGAGCTTGAAAACTGGTTACGAAACGACCAGTTTCTTCATCTGATCTAGAGTGATAACAGCACTGATAAGCAGCTAGTAAAAACCCAATATTTTTGATTTTTTAAATGACTCAAGCTGGACTTGTCAACACTTGTGTACAAGTGATAAATTTTCAAAATCTCACCTTCGAAAAAGGACAACGCTTGTGGAATGGAGTATCGTCGACGCAGGACTTAATCAGTAAAAGAAAATTCGTTTAGGGCTCGTCAAGCCCGCCCGAAATACCGTCTGTGAAGAAGGCAACGGCTAATGTTACCGTACGTATCGATAGCCTCCTGCTTGAGCCGTTCTTTCCCTCGTCACGTAACGCTACGCCTGAGCCGTTCTTTGTCTCGTCAAGTAACGCTACTCTCTGCGTGACACGCAAAACAAAGAAGACTTCGTCAAAAAACAACTCTGTTCTGTAGGCTACATATACAAAAGAGGCCCAAAAAGAGCTAGCGTACGTCCTGCAGACTCGTCTACGCGGGACAACTTTGCTCCGGACCGGTATGTCAATTAAAAATTTGAATGGCGGCTTTGTTAAAGATTTCACTCATCTGCACAATGTTAGAAAAATTTGGTTTTATCAACTGAGATTTCTTAGTTGATAAGGTAGTTTGGCCACCGCAGATATAGGAGACAGAGAAGCTGGCGGTTCGAGCCCCTAGCCCTTGCGTCGTCAGAGTGAGTCAGTGGGTGGCGAGTGTGGTTCGGAATTATCGGAATAACATTTTGTAAGCAGTTGGGAGTTTAATTGCGATGAAGGTGAAAGCCTCTACGGTTTAACAAGTTAAATCAACAATGAAGATTTTAGCAAGGTCAGGCCAGGCGAGCTACAAATCGTCCTTAAATTTAAAGTCGGCCTCAGATATAGGGGAGTATAGAAATATTAGCGCGTTTATGACCGCAGCTACGTTTTGAGGTGCTCCATGTGACTCTTTTAAAAAGATGTCGCAGAAAAAAAAGGATAAGCAGATTACTGTACTGAATACCAAAAGCGTTTTTAAACTATAGTCAGGATTATACTTCATCGCAGTCCCCTTGAAAGGAAAAAGAGAGAAACAGAAACATACTTTTTAGTATCCATAACTGATATCTAGACTGACATTTCACTAGTCAGTTTTTGAAAAATGTTACGTATAAAAAGAGATTTAATATATATCAAGAAACCTCTTCTGTTTCGACTACGCTTGATGCTCAGGCTTGGAATGTGTTCCTCACTTGATTTTAACATACAATCAGTTGATGGTATAGGGTTGACATACCAATGGCCACAAAACAAGCACCCAGTAAAAAAAATTACAACAATTTTAATATATTTTTGCACACCTGCGTTAGCTTCACAATCACATGAGTCTAAAATGATTCAGTTAGTAAGTTCCACTCCACACGACATCCAGAACGTAAAATCATAGGCTTTTACTAGGCAAACGGTTGATCATAATTTAAAATTTGTTGTTATCAACTGTGTGAGTCAATAAGTCAGTTCGTCGTAATAAAATGGTTGAAAAGGTGACGTTTCCCAGCGCAGGCCCTTCCTCAGGGCTGGCAAATTCTCTTAGAATCCGTCTCCTTGACAATCAATTCGTGGTGCTCCCTCCTAGGCTTTTCTTCTGAAATCGTTGTTATAGTCTCCATGGATACCAACATAGTAAGTTGAAAGACCGTCTTTATATCCATGAAGGATTCACAACGACTATTGCTTTAAAACGTTAGTTTTTCAATCTTTTAGGTGGCCTGGTGGCAAATTGCCTTTATCAACACACAGTTAGCACAAGCTCTACGTCTCTACTGAACTT